CCTCATATTCCCCTTTGGCCCTTTCTTCTCCTATCCTTCCGTCCCCCGTCCTTCATGCTGTCCTCTTCTCTTCTGCCCTTTCTTCCTACAACCATTCCCTCCCGCTTTCCCTCTTTCTCTCCATCCTTCTCTTTCTACTCCCCTTTTCCCCCATCATTCCCCACTCCCCTCCTCCTTTCCTCTTCTCCACTATTCCCACTCCCCTTGCCCCTTCCCTTCCCCCATCTTCCATACTCCCCATTTCCAGTTCCCCTTCTCTCTCTCTCCTCTCTCTCTCTCTCTCTCTCTCTCTCTCTCTCTCTCTCTCTCTCTCTCTCTCTCTCTCTCTCTCTCTCTCTTCTCTCTCTCTCTCTCTCTCTCTCTCTCTCCCTCCCTCCTCCCTCCTCTCTCTCTCTTCTCTCTCTCTCTCTCTCTCTCTCTCTCTCTCTCCTTCCCTCTTCTGTATCTCCCTCCCTCCCTCCCTCCCATTCCCTCTCTCCCTCCATTCCATCTCAACCCCCCTCCTCCCCCCAACTCCCGGACGAAACCTCGGAAGGCGGTGGAGGAGGAGCTCCGGGCCGGCGTAGATCACAGCCCGTCCTCCGGGATTCAGCGTCGTGGTCCCAGGCTTAAGGAGTGGGTGGGAGGCTGAGGAGGTGGATTTGCGTGGATAATGCGTGTATAGGCGTTGGAGGGCGCTCGAGATCGAAGCTGTGCATGTTTGTTTGTCTTTTTTGTATTTTGTCTTTTTGTATTTTGTATTTTGTTTGATTTTTTTGTTTTGTTTTGTGAGAATTACCTCATTTTCCCCCTGTAATTTGCTCTTTGCTGGTGTCGCTAATGATAATGACGGTGCTAATGGCTACCTTCTGTAATTAGTGCCTTTTGCTCGCAGTCATCAGCAGACGTTCGTAATTGTTTATAAATGTCTACCGTTCTGTTCTATCGACCGTCGTTTGTTTCTTGACCCATTTTTCCTGCTGTGCTTCTGTATGCTGATTAGCCGCCCCGCGCCTACAACGGAAACTGTTCCCACTGTGACGTCACCATGAACGAAAAAAACATGACCATTGCTGTCACCCTTTCCCACCCAAGGCACCCATTATAACCCATTCTCCCATTACTAATTGAAAATGAAATAGAAATACTATTATTAGCGGTTGTAAGAGTAGTAGTTATGGTAGATGTAATAATCGTGCTTATAATGATCATGATGAGAGTGACAGCCCTCAGCACGATGGCCTCGGCATAATAGCATCTCGATGGTGAAGCGAGAGTGAGACAAGACCTCTTTGTATTCCGGGCAGCGCGTTTCGGAGGTCCGACGGAAAGGCCTTGTTGGGGAGAAGCCGCCAGCGATCGAAAAGGAATTCATGTCTTTTCACAAGTGACGCAAAGTAGAAAACATTTCGGGGCGAAGTCATTGTAAGTCGGAAGTTGTCCGTTATGGATGGCCAACTTTTGCAATAACACGCCTATTTCTTGCTAAATAACATCACAAATCCATTCTCCGAATCAAAAGTGGTTATATTGTTCGGCTGTCCTCTTAAATAAAGTTGTTCTGTTCTCGTAAAGGCAACTGCTTTTTTACCCTCCCCTGGCCAATATGGTATTCATGCGCCGTAAATATCCCGAAATCCGATTTTGTTTTGAGCGGCCTGTCGGTGGCGCTGAGACACGATGCCTTTGCCAAGATGCCTCGGCCGGGGAGGGGCAGCGGCCTCCAGTATTGCCGGGCGCCCCCAAGTCCTCCGCCGCAGCGGCCGCCGGCGATCGAATGTATTTCAATTTCTGCTTTTGCATTTTTTAAAGTTCGAGCGACGCGCTCGTTGAAGGGAAACATCTTAATCGTGTTGGAATATTGTATTAGAAAAACATAGTTTGAACTGCTTCTAGACCGTCTAGAATTCACCTATAAGCACGTGATTAAGAGCACAGCATTTGCTTTACTGACGATTACAGCGGAACTTCTAGAAGCTTTTATCGCGTTCTCTTGTTTGTGAGGAAAGTGTACCGCGTGGTTCATTCCTGTGAAAACGGCCAATATCTCCGCATGAGGTTCTATGTCATGCTTCGTCTCCTCGAGTCTTTCTCTCAACCCACGTTTGTCACAATATTTCCTTTCCCTTCCTATCAAAATATACATTAACCCTAATTATGAGGATTTGTAGTCTCGTCAATTACTGTAATATCACCTGTACCCAATTAGCGTCTTTCCTCCTCCTTCTAATTATAGAAGTTTGCCCTCTCCCTTCGAGAGACGATGAATCTCGCTGGTTGTTAGCGTGCCGCTGTTATGCAACGGCGCTCATGCCCTTTGCAATAACGTTTCAGGATTTTTTTCTGACCAGGCCTGTCTCACTCAGTGCTTCCATTGTTTGCCTTGAGTATTCATATTACTTTACAAGGACTAATCCTTTAAGTGATTTCTGTCTTCTTTGTCTTGATATATTTGCATATGTTAAAAAGAGGGAAACACTTGAATGTTTCCTTCGGCTATTTTTTTTTTTTTTTTTTTTTTTTTTTTTTTGCCTTGGTGACTTCTCTGTCTATGATCTCTGATGACTCTTTACTTCTTCAAATCACCTCTTTTTCATGATTTTCTCTCCTTCAGGATGGTCCTCAGTACTTTCCCTCAGGGCACGCCCCTCCAGCTCACTTACTCCCGGCACATTTTCTTCCCGGTCGCCTCGTACCGGGCCAGGTCTTTCTGTACGACCAGTATGACCTCCTGTACGGCTGCGTAAGTCCGCGAGTGCTCGAAATCCGTATCGGTGCCAAACCTCATTTATTCGATCTCCCGCGCGCCGGCGATTCCCTCGTCGCTCGGAAGAAGACGACCCGGCGGAAGAGGGAGTCAGGGGGAGACAGACGGGGTCACGCCGGGTCCGAGGCAGCGGGTTCTAAATATCAATAAGTACAGAATTATCGTGCTTCTTGTGGACCTCTCATGGAAGGGAAGCTTCATGATGTAAGCCTCGTGTCTGTCGCGTTGTCTGTTAGCGAGGCAGAGGGCGATCTGGGCAGTGAAACACCACGAGAAAAAGAGGAAAATACAATATAACATTCATGACACGTGGGTTTTGATTTAAGCCCGACATCGCTCCACACACGAAAAAATAATGTGAATGAAGCGCCGGATTAGGGGATTGATCTCCAATACAATGTGACAAAATTTGTATGCAACCCTTTGACACTGAAATACATCAACAGTGAATTGCATAACAGAAATGTCAAGGGATAGATTAAGGGTTTATTTATTTTTTTTTTCTATTTTTTTCTATTTTGAGTGCATACCATTGCATGTCTGTTTTTTGACGCAAACAAATTTATTCATACGAAAACCAATCCGTTTTTTATTCTTTCCTTCAATATAAGAAAGGAAATGAAAGAAATGAAAATGAGATACGAATTTATGAGGTTGAATTGATGCCGATTTCTACACCTAACGCATTAACTAACGCCTGCTCTTCCCCTTCTGGCAGCCTGAGTCTCTGTGACTGAAGCCCCTTATGCAGGGAAACCTCTGAACGAGTCGTAACAGTCTGGAAACCTCAGAGCTTAATGGAAGAGGATCAAACTCGTGAACCTCACTGAACACGTAACCCCCCAATCTTCCTTGGAATTTTGAGTAGTTTATTTCTTTCTTTTTCCTTTTTTCTTTTTTGTTTGCTTGTTTTCTTTTTGTTTTAGGCTTTCTTAACTTGGTTTCTTGCTTCTAAAAGTTATCCACCTTTATCTTTGTTCTGTTCTCTTGCTCTCTCTCTCTCTCTCTCTCTCTCTCTCTCTCTCTCTCTCTCTCTCTCTCTCTCTCTCTCTCTCTCTCTCTCTCTCTCTCTCTCTCTCTCTCCTCTCTCCCTCCATCCCTCCCTCCCTCCCTCCTCCCTCCCTCCCTCCCTCCTCCTCCCTCCTCTCTCTCTCTCTCTCTCCTCTCTCTCTCTCTCTCTCTCTCTCTCTCTCCTCTCTCTCTCTCTCTCTCTCCTCTCTCTCTCTCTCTCTCTCTCTCTCTCTCTCTCTCTCTCTCTCTCTCTCTCTCTCTCTCTCTCTCTCTCTCTCTCTCTCTCTATCTATCTATCTATCTACCAATCAGCCAACACATATCCCTTCCTCCCTCCCTCTATCTCTCTTCCTATTCTTCCCTCTTCCTCTCCTCTACACTCCATCCCCTTCTCCCATTCTCGTCTTGTTTCCCATTCTAGATATTTTCTATGCATTTTTTCTTTCTTTATAATGCAGACTCTTCCTTCTCTCTCTCTCTCTCTCTCTCTTCTTCTCTCTCGTCCATTTTTCCCCCTCCTTCGCAAAGTTTTCAAATGGCTTCTGTAAACCGTTGGAGTGGCTTAAATAATTAACACCAACGTGAGGTCTGGGCGTAATTCCAGCTTTGGTTCATTTTGCAGGCCGGGAGATTGTGAAACTTTATTTATTCTTACGATCTGTTTGCGCTGGTGCTTCGTAGCCGGTGAAGGAGTCGGCGGTTGGGCCTGCGATGCCTGGGCATTCGTGTGAAGCGTAAAAATGCCATTAAATGGGTTGGGGATGGGGGGAGGGGGGAGGGCTGCTTCCATGCCCGTGTTAGATTTTCTTTTTTATTTCTTTTTCTTCTTTTTTTCTCGTCAGCTGTCTTGGTTTGGGTAATGTGCCTTGCTCTTGTGTGAACCACCCGACTTAATATGCGTGGAGCGAGAGAAAAAATGTGCTTGTGTTCTTAACCTTACCCAGTAATGTTTGCGTGGAGTGTTTATTCAATAAAACACTTTTTCGGTTTATTCTTGGCTTAATCCTGAGTTTGAGTGTGGTGTGATTAATCCTGGTTGTCTAAAAAAAGAAATGAATACGTGTAAGCACTATATATATATATATTATATATATATATATATATATATATATATATATATATATATATATATATATATATATATATATATATATATATTATATATATATATATATATATATATAATATATATATATATATATAATATATATATATATATATATATATATATATATATATATATATATATATATAGGTATGTATATATACAGATATGCATATATATGCTTATTATCTATGTTTACATACATACATACAAATAAGCATACGTACATACATACATACATACATACATACATACACACATACACAAATAGACATACATTAATATAGACAGACACGCAGACGTGAATACCCAAACAAACACATGCGTGTATGTTTACGAGGCGTAGCGATGAGTGCGCATACGCCCTCTGTATCGCTGCCACCTATTTTTAGAACAGTCTTTCTGTGCTCCCCGGATCCCCCTCCCCCCCTCTCCCTCAGCACTCCCAGCCCCCCCCTCCCACCTCCCCGCCTTCCTCCGCCGTTTTTCCTCACCCCTTCCGCGCCCCCCTCACTCCCGTAGCCCTTCCGCGCCCCTTTCTTACCTCCCTCAGCCCTTCCACGCCCTCCCTCCCTTAGCCCTTCCGCGCCCGTTTCTTACCTCTCCCTCAGCCCCTTCCAGGCCCCTCTCACCTCCCTCAGCCCCTTCCAGGCCCCTCTCACCTCCCTCAGCCCTTCCCCGCCCCTCACTCCCTTCCTCAGCCCCTACCCCCGCCCCTTTCACCCCTCCCCCGAGTTCCTCCGCCCTGTCTAACCTCCGTGGGTGTCCCCCCGTCAGGAGCAGACCCACAAGCACGCCGCCTCCACGTACCTCATCGACCAGATTGAGCCTCCGCCCGAGTACGCCAGCCAGACCCCTTCGCAGCCCTCCAGCGCCGCCTACGACCCGCACGAGGACGACTACGCTGAGGTTCTTCGCAGGAACGCTTATAACCATCAGCTGGGTGAGTGTGCCAGCTTGTTTTTTCGTTGTTTTGACTATATTTGTCTGTCTCTTTCTTTCTTTCTTTCTTCTCTCTCTCTCTCTTCTCTCTTCTCTCTCTCTCTCTCTCTCTCTCTCTCTCTCTCTCTCTCTCTCTCTCTCTCTCTCTCTCTCTCTCTCTCTCTCTCTCTCTCTCTCCCTCCCTCTCTCTCTCCCTCCCTCTCTTCTCTCCCTCCCTCTCTCTCTCCCTCCCTCTCCTCTCTCTCCCTCTTTCCCTCTCCTCCTCCTTCTCCCTCCCTCCTCCTCTCCCTCCTTCTCCCTCCCTTCTCCCTCCCCCCTCTCTCTCTCTCTCTCTCTGAGAGTGTATGTGTGTGCGTGTGTGTGTGCGTGTGTGTGTGCGTGTGTGTGTGTGTGGTGTGTGTGTGTGTGTGTGTGTGTGTGTGTATGTGTGTGTGTGTGTGTGTGATGTGTGGTGTGTGTGTATGTGTGTGTGTGTGTGTGTGTGTGTGTGTGTGTGTGTGTGTGTATGTGTGTGTGTGTGTGTGTCTGTGTGTGTGTGTGTGTGTGTGTGTGTGTTGTGTGTGTGTGTGTGTGTATAAATATATGTGCGTGTTAATTTGTAAGTATGAATGTATGCAGATGTATGACCGCTGAAGTTGCAGCCCTAGAATTGACAGTAATTGCTCGCGTCTTTCTGTTTCAGGTAAAGTCACCCCCGCCCCCCTCCCGCGCCACCCACTACAGCACCTCCCCCGAAAACCGCGGTTACCTCAGCTTTTCGTACACGCCCTCCCCCACGGGCGTCCCCAACGGCGCCGCCCAGTACCACGCGGGGGGTCCTTCAGTCACATTGGGCCTCCACGATCACGCCCACGGCTACCCTGCTGACATGGGCAACCTGAGCATGGAGGGCGTGGACCACGCCCACGCTCTGCAGTCGCTGGGCCTCGACTCCGACCCCCCGCCATCCCTGGGGCTGGAGCAGCACTCCATTCCTTCCGAACACCCCAGCCTTACGCTCGACCCCCACTCCATCACCATAGACCACCCCGTCATCGCCGTGACCGACTTCTCCAACAGAAACGGAGACTTGAGAGTCCAGCCGACCAGCCTCTCCACCTTCAACCCTAATCCCTCGCCCTCGACCTTCAGTGAATCAGACCTTGAAGGCCACTTGGTATGACTGTAAGCACGCCCGCTGTCAACTGTAAGGCGGGTACCTGCTTACCTTCTCAAGAGTCCCCTGGGTGCGCCGGCATCTGCGAATGACCATGACCCGTTTTCTGTGGATCCAGAAAGAGGGGAAACTGGAGCACTAAAATCACATTTGCAAAACCCAAGAAGGAAATGCACCCAAGACGTCAGGGATACTTATATATTCGCTGATTTGCTTGAATAACCAAAGAATAATGACTTAATGCATTTCAGTAACGCATGTAGGTACTTTATGCGGTTATAAGAGTATAATGGCTTTAAAATGCATTTTGCATAATACATGCATGAATTTTGTAATGATCATGAATGTGATCTTGTATGTTGTTTATTTACCCAGTGTGATTGGGCGCAGAGTTGATCTAAGTATATAATTTTCGATCGTATGAAAATGACATTCATTATGATAAAAAAAACAATTTGTGCAAACAGCAATGAATTCCTGTTGTCAGGCTGGACTGTATGAACTTGCAGTCTGGAGTATGAATTAGATTACAAATACACC